CCCACCCCGCGAATCGCCCGCGACCACCCACGACCCACCCGCGAACCACCCACGACCCACCCGCGACAGTGCCCGAGACCCACCCGCGACTTTTCGGCGACCTTTCTGCGACCCACCCACACTGCTTTAACGAAACATCGGCGCCTGCGGCGGGCCACACGCGACCCACCCGGGACCTTTCCGCAATTTTTCCGCGACCCAGCCGCGACCCAGCCACATTGTTTCAACGGAACACATCGGGGTTTGCAGCGCGCTCGTTGTACAGTCGGGGCCCTGAAGAAGGAACCCTTTTCGTTGGGGAGGGGCTCCGCGTTCCTTAAGTGGTTCACAGTTTGCCTCAGGTTGTCCTTATGTTTTGGATAGGACATCGAAGTTTAACTTACGGAAAAAAAGGGCCTCGTTCCTTTTTTAGGGTTCCTTAGGTCAACGCCCCGACTGTATATTGTGTAGGAATTAAGCGTTTGCGGCGGGCTTCACCAGATCTTCACACATTGCCGACGTCCCCGCGCCCCCATCACTCTTACCCTCGATTCTGGGTTGCTACGCAAAGCAGGTGAGAAATACATGCGCAGGGAGGGTGCCAAACCAACCCCATGGTTGTTTGGGGACCCTCTGCCCCTTCTTTGGCCATATAGTGGGGCCTTCTGATGCTGCCTTGGGCCGCTCGTAGGGCCATACGGGAGCCACCCTGAGCAGCACGAGGGTCTTATGGAGGCCCCTTTTTGGGATAAGCATGATGGCATCGGTTCGGCCCCATTCGAGGCCATCCTGGCACCCTTTGAGCCCAGAGACCCGGGAAACATAATACTCAAAGACCTAATGGTTCGAGTTGGTTATTGAGTGATTTGGGTTTTCTTGGAGAGCCAGGTCCTGACTCTCCTGTGAGTTGGGCTCTTGCTTTGAATCCGCAGCGCCGTGCGTTTCCTCTCCACTCACCCTGCTATTCCTCCTCCTCCTCCTCATCCTCCTCATTATCCTGCTCCTCCTGCTTCTTCTCCGTCTCCTGCTCATCCCGCCTCCTTCCCCCCTCCTCCTTCTCTTTCTCCCCATCCTCGTCATCACCCCGTCATCCTCACCCTGTGCTTCCGAACCCTCCAATCCTAATCAATGTTTCGGCACACCCCTCACACGCTCCGTGGCTCCACAAGGAGCTTCACCGAAGGCCCCACGGGTTGAGCTCCCATTGCGGCCCCACCCCATCTCGGCACACCCGTCACACGTCCCGTGGCCCCACACGGAGCGCAACCGAAGGCCTTGCGGGCTGTGTTCGCATAGCGGCCCCGCCCCATCCAGGCACACCCCTCACACGTTTCGTGGCCCCACGGGGCGCTCAACCGAAGGCCCCATTGGTTGCGTTCGCATGGCGGTTCCGCCCCATGTCGGCTCATCCTTCGCACGGTTCATGGCCCCAAAGGGAGTTTAACCGAAGGCCCCAGGTTGGGTTCGCATGACCGCCCCGCCCCATATCGGCACACCTTTCACACGTCGTGGCTTTACAAGGAACTGAACCGAAAGCCCCACGGGCTGCGTTCGCATCGCGGCACCTCCGCGTTCCGGCACGCTTTTGAGACGCTGCGTGGCCCCAGATGGAGCTCCCTTGAGGCCCCACTGGCTACATTCGCCTAGCAGCCCAGAACACTGCGGCACACCCCTCACACGTCTCGTGGTCCCACATGGAGCTACACCGAAGGCCGCACAGGTTGCGTTCGCATGGCGGCCCCGCATACTTTCGGTACCCACCTCCTACGCTTCATCTGGGCCACACGAGGAGCTCCGCGAAGGCTCCACGGGCTGCGGGTCGCACGGCGGCCCCGCCCCGTGTCGGCGCACCCCCTCACCCGTCTCGTGGTCCCATGAGGAGCTCAACTGAAGGCCCCGCGGGCTGCGGCCGCGTGGCGGCCCCGCCCCATTCTGGCAAACCCCTCGCATGTTGCGAGAGCACCTGCTAAAGGCTGGGCTCTTGGCCAGGCCAAATCCTGGCGGCCTCGGTGGCGCCTCTGGTGGCCTCCCTGGGAGCTGTCGGGCGCCTCCTGAGGAGGCATGCTGGGCCATAGCATCACCTGCTATTCTAACACACACCTCAACGTGCCAGGGGGGCACGGTGGCGGATTTGGGGCAAAAAAGGGAGGGCCCGATGAGATCCGCCCAGAGACCGACGTATGCCACGTGGGGCGGTGCTGAAATTGCCTCGGAGTGCTCGTGGGAGCGTTGGGAGCCGTCTTGAGGCCTTACCCGGCCCTTCTTAGGGATATCGGGGCCCGTCTTAGGGCTCTCGTGGTCCATCCCGGGTCCACCCAGAAACCTCAGCGAGCCATCTGGAGCCGAAAAGGCGAGAAGGCGAACAACAATTCAGAACCCGCAGGCTTGCTTCGTGATGTTGGCCTCTCGAGTGGTTCCGTGGCCAGCTTGAGCAATGTTCGGGCCTCCTTTGCGCGTCTTGGGGCCATGCTGGGGGCAAGGTTTGGGCCAGCTTGGAAGGAGGAGGAGGAGGAGGAAGACGAGGACGAGGGGCAGGAGGAAAAAGATGAGGTGAGGAATGAGGAGGAGGAGGAGGAGGAGGAGGAGGAGGTAAGAGGAGAGGGTAGGAGGAGAAGCAGGAGGAGCAGCAGCAGCAAGAGGTTGAGAAGGAGGAGGAGGCAACAGCAGCAGCCCTTCGAGAGGAGGAGGAGGAGGAGGAGGAGGAGGAGGAGGAGGAGGAGGAAGAGTTTGATCCAGAAGAGGAGCGAGCAGGAGGGGAGGAGGAAGAGAGGGAGGCGATTGGGCAGGGGGATGGGAGGGAGGGAGATAAGAGCAGGCTCTGAGACCCCTGGCGTCGCGTTTTTTTTGTACAACGTGGACCCCAGAGCTTCGCGACCCCTTCCCGGGGACCCCTTGTCCGTCCTAAGCTGTCTGTTGATCACCGAGCGTGGTCCACGACTCGCAAAATGCCGACTCGCAAGCGTTAGAAAAAACACGTCCGCCTCGATATATCCGGTCGTGTAAAGTTCCCCGCGGCGCATCCAGGCCATCTGCGAGCAGCTACTTTTTGCGAGTAGTGGAGCGCGCTTGTCCAGTGGAGGGGCCTTCGAAGGCCTGCGGAGGCCGAGGGAGCGACGAAAAAGCGGGAGTCACGATGTTTGTTGATGCGTCTGCGTGTGCAAAGCTTGGGCGTGAGGGGTGGTGAGACTTCGGGTTGCACACATCGAAGAAGAAAAAATGCATAAACGTAAGCTTGTGGCGCTCCGCGCGGATTTCGTGGATCTGCGCTGGAGCGCCCTGGCGGTGGCCCCGCTCAGATCCAAGTAATCTGCGCGGACCGCCAACAGTTTCTGTATATGCTGAGCTTTGTTCCTCTGGCACAGACAGCCCCCCAGGTAGTCCCGGCTGGCCTCAAGAGGCCCCCCGAGCAGCCCGGGGCGGTCTCAACACCCCAGCCTTGGGGCGCGGGGCGCCGCTGGAGGCGGCGCCAGGATGCTGAGGCCGCCCGGGACTATCTCGAGGGGCCTGTTGAGGCCAGCCGGGATTGCTTGGGCACGGTCGGGTTTTTTTTTGACAGCGTATCGCTCCGACGGTTCTGGCCCCCAGCGTCATCATCTTCATCATCATCATCATCATCATCATCATCATCATCATCATCAGCAGCAGCAGCAGCAGCAGCAGCGTCATCATCATCACCATCATCATCATCCATCTCCTCCTCCTCCTCCTCCTCCTCCTCCTCCTCCTCCTCCTCCTCCTCCTCCTCCTCCTCCTCCTCCTCCTCCTCCTCCTCCTCCTCCTCCTCCCCCTCCCCCTCCTCCTCCACCTCTCCCTCGGGCCACGGATGGCAGGTGTGGGCTCCGCCGCTTCTGGCCCCCCGCGTCGACGTCCCGAGCGGTTCCCCGCCTCCCGCCCCACGGAGCGGAGCGCCACGCCGCCCGCTCGCACGGGTCACAGCGTGTCGCCGGGGCCGCCGCGGCGGCACGGTGTGCAAAAGTGTTTCCGACCGTGCCTGGGCCCAGCCTCGGAGGCGACGAGAAGGGCGAGTTGCCCGGGGGCGGGCCTTCTGCTCCTCCTCCTCCTCCTCCTCCTCCTCCTCCTCCTCCTCCTCCTCCTCCTCCTCCTCCTCCTCCTCCTCCTCCTCCTCCTCCTCCTCTTGCCTTCTCCTCCTCCTCCTCCCTCCTCCTCCTCCTCCTCCTCCTCCTCCTCCACAATTACTCAATATGAATACTACTCTCCCTCTTCCCCTGATGACGGTTTGAAAGTGCTCGACCCCCCCCCGCGTACTGTCTTTTTACACACAGGTTTCCCCGGAGTTGGGTTTTCGCCTGCCTTTTTTTCAAAATGCTGCTCTCGCTGAGGCGCCGGCCTCATTTTCGGGCCCCGTTCGTTCCGAATCGTGCTCCCGCTGCAGCGCTGGCCTCATTTCCGTGCTTCCGCTCGTTCCGAATCGTGCTCCCGCTGCAGCGCTGGCCTCATTTCCGCGCTTCCGCTCGTTTCGACTCGTGCTCCCGCTGCAGCGCTGGCGTCATTTCCCGTGCCATGCCACGGCATGCAATGCAATGCTAGGTTGAAACTACGTTTTGCGGTGTTCTTCTACGCCATGCCATGCCGTGCTCTACAATGCATCGCGTACTTTTTCGGGATCATTGCCCTGCTCGACATCCGACTGTGCGAGTAGAGAGGGGATCTACGCCATGGTAAGGGATGGGAGGGAGGGGTAGGATGTCAGATATGACGCGAGCGCACCTAGCTTGTCTTACCTCCTCCTCCGCATCATCAGCATCATCATCATCAGCAGCAGCAGCATCATCCCTATCATCCTCCTCCTCATCATCATCCTCATCATCATCATCATCATCATCATCATAATCATCACCATCACTTCGATCATCATCATCCCTGTCCTCCTCCTCCTCCTCCTCCTCCTCCTCCTCCTCCTCCTCCTCCTCCTCCCCCTCCTCCCCCTCCTCCTCCCCCTCCTCCTCGTTCAAAACTCCGGCCGGGCCCGTCGTGCGCCGACGGGCGCCCCCTCCGCGAAGGGCCACCGCGAGGGCGCGCGGCTCCTCTGGCTCGCCTGGTCGGACTTCCTGGACACCAGCCCGCCGCTGGCCTTCCTGGAGGAGCGCGGCCCTGCCCCCCCCCCCCCCTCCCCCACCCCACCCACCTTAGGAGAGGAGGAGGAGGAGGAGGAGAGATGGGAGAGGAGGAGGAGGAGGAGGAGGAGAGGAGGAGGAGAGGAGCAGGAGGAGGAGGAGGAGGAGGACGAGAAGAGAAGAATAAGGAGGAGGAGGAGGAGGAGGAGCCGGCTGGGGTCTGAGGTGGCCCAGCACCAGCTCGGGCGAGCAGGAAGGGAGGGCGAGGTTCGAGGTTCTGGTTTCGCTGAGGTTTGCGGTCTTTTTTGGCCTCCGAGGGCCGTTTTCGTGGCCCAGGACCTTCCAAAATTGATCTGGGGTGAAAGATTGCACCAGATGGACCACGGGAGGGGTCAGGGGATAGATTTGAGAGAGCGTGATCCACCGCCGCTTTACTGTGGAAAATTGCCAACCTTTTCCTCCGGAACCCCGGGGGTCTCCCCCCCCCCCCCCTCCGAAAATCCCCCCTCTGCCGGAACCCCTCCCCCCCCCCCCCCCTCTCCCCCGGCAAAACCCCCCCCCTCCTCCCCTAACCCCTCCCCCCCCCCCCCCCCCCCCCCCCCCCCCCCTCCTCCGGATCCGGAAAACCGGGGGGGTCACTACCGGTTCGAACCCCTCCCCCCCCCCCCCCCCTCCGATCCGGAAAACCGGGGGGGGTCACTACCGGTTCGACCCCCCCCACCCCCCCCCCCCCCCCCCCCCCCCCCCCCTACTCACCGCCAGCAAACGACTCCCGGTCCCCACCACCGTCCGCATCACATCCCCCACTGGTGTTCCCAGCACCACTGTCCTCACCACCGCTGTCCCCACTGGTTCCACCACCGCCCCTACTGTCCCCACCAGTGGCCCCACCACTGTCGCACTGTCCCCGCTGTCCCCAGAACTGTTCCCACCACGGTTCCACTCTCCCCACTGTCTCCACGGCCCCAACCACTGCCCGACTATCCCCACTGTCCCCACTGTCCCACTGACTCCTCCGCTGTCCCACTGAGCTGTCCCACTGTTCCCACCACTGTCCCCACTGTCCCCACCACTGTCCCCACTGTACCTCTGTCCCATTGTCCCACCGCCGTCCTCGCCACCGCCTTCACCACTGTCCCCACCACCATTGTACCCTCCACTGTCCCACTGTTTCCACCTCATTCCCATTGTCCCCACACCACTGTCCCCACCACCACCGTCACCACCACTGTCCACTGTCCCCCCCTGTTCCCACCATTGTCCCCACCACTGTCCCCACCACTACCGTCCCCACCACTGTCCCACTGTCCCACTGTCCCCACCACTGTCCCGCTATCCCCTCACCACTGTCCCCACCACTACCGTCCCCACCACTGTCCCACTGTCCCCCCACTGTCCCCACCACTGTCCCGCTGTCCCCTCACCACTGTCCCCACCAACACCGTCCCCACCACTGTCCGCACCCCCACTCGGTTTTCGAGGGGGGGGGGGGGTGTTCGAACCGGTAGTGACCCCACCCCCTTTTCATGATGAGCTGGGGGGGGGGGGGGGAGGGGTTCGAACCGGTAGTGACTCCCCCCGGTTTTCCGGGGGGGGGGGGGGGGGGAGGGGTTCGAACTGGTAGTGACCCCCCCCGGTTTTCCGCCAGCAGCGGTAGAACACGCTCTTTCATAGATTTTGATCGGATTTGATTTTGCTTCTCTTTCTTGACAGATCGAAGACGCCTACGACGAATCACCGCCGCCCCCTACCTTTTGAAAGCCCCCATATGGTCGAACGTTGCGGCCAACCCTTGCAAACACGAGGGGGAGAAAGAAGAAGAGGCAGAGATAGAGAGAAGAAAAAGGAGAATCAGAAGGGGGAAAGCCTCTTGGGAGCATCTTCGGGCACACTTTGAGCCTCCTGGGAGCTTCCTGGGGGCATCTCGGAGGCCTCTTCGGAGTTTCCTTGGGCCTTTGGCCTTTTTGGGGGTCTTTCGAGGCTCCATGGGAGGTCCTTTGACCGTTTGAGGGCCCTCCTGGCCTGTCTGACGCCGTCGGAAGCCATCTTGGGAGCCTTTCTTAGCCGACGTGGGGCCCTCTTGGAGCGCTGCAGGGCCGTCTTGAAGGCAATTTTGGGCGTCACGGGGCCATCTTGGTGGGCTCTGCCGCCATCTTGGACCTTCGGAAAGCCGCAAATTAGCAAGCGCCCGAGTCTTTCAAAAACATTAGTTTGCCTCCTTCGGGCCTTCCGAGAGGACCTCTGCTGAAGGCCTCTTGGGGGGCATCTTGAGCCTCCGCGTTCCTCTCCCTTTCACCCGCTGCCTCCTTATCGTCATTGCTCGAACGCCGCGGGCTGGGCAGGCCTGCGCGGGCGAGAGCCCATCACCTCCCACTGCCAGATCCCGCGCGACATCCGCCCCCAGACGTCCCACAGGCAGCATCCCGACGAGTTCTCCGAGCCGCCCCCCCGCCGAGGTGACGAGGGCCCGCCGGAGGACCAGAAGGGAAAGGAGGAGAGGAGGAAGGGGAGGAGGAGGAGGAGGAGGAGGAGGAGGAGGAGGAGGAGGAGGAGGAGGAGGAGAGAGGAGGAGGAGAGGGACGATCTTCCCTTCTCCTCCGCCTCCTCCACCGTTTCCCTCGGCCCCCTTGCCTCCTGGACCTGCAAGTGTCCTCACACATGCCAGGAGTGGTCGAAGAATCTCCGCGACGTGTCCTGGGACCAGGCGCACTCGAGGTCGCCCTTCGACATCGCCTGGAAGGACCAGTGGTGTCCAAAGAGCCGGCATCGTCGTCGTCATTGCCGCCGTCGCCCTCCTCTTCCCGCCTCATCCCTCCCTCCTCCTCTTCCGCCTCCTCTTCTTCCTTCTCCTCCTCCTCCTCCTCCTCCTCCTCCTCCTCCTCCTCCTCCTCCTCCTTTTCCTCCTCCTCCTCCTCTTCCTCCGCATCCTCCTTTCGCCCAGAGCATGATGACCACCCTGAGCATCTGCCCTCGAGGCTGAGTGACTTGTCGAGGGATGCGGCAGATACCCACGCAGGGGTGCACCGCATGCAACATGCGTGAAACCGTTTGCGCCCCCTTGCAAAGAGCCGAGCCTCCTCCTCCTGTCCTCCTCCTCCTCCTCCTCCGCCTCCTCCTCCTCCTCCTCCTCATCATCATCATCACCATCATCAGCAGCATCAGCAGCAGCATCAGCATGCTCCGCAGCGGCCTTGGCTGAAGAGGTCAATCGGCGGCGGGCGCGCGCTTCGCAGCGCCCTCTCTCTCCCTCTCCCTCTCTCTCTCTCTCTCTCTCTCTCTCTCTCTCTCTCTCTCTCTCTCTCTCTCTGTCTCTCTCTCTCTCTCTCTGGCTCTCTCTCTCTCTCGCTCTCTCTCCTGCCCGGGATGCTCTCGACAGGGCCCAGGGCAGGTTGCCCGCGGCGGCGCTCCTCCGCCGGGCCCAGGGCGCCACGGGCGCGCCGCCGCGCGCGCGCGGGCGACCCGCGAGCGGGCGCGCTGCACGAGGGCCGTCCAACAAGCGGCAGCCCGCTGGGCCGTCGCGGCGCCCGACGGCCGCGGCGGCGGCCGCCCCGGACGACGGCAACCTCCCAAACGACGGGGCGCGGCGCGATGATCCCGGAGCGGGCGCCTGCCCAGTGGGGCTTCGCCGCGCGGCACGCGCGGGCCCCCGAGGCCGTGGCGCCGCCCCGAGCGGCCCACGGCACCGCTCCTCCTCCTCCTCCTCCTCCTCCTCCTCCTCCTCCTCCTCCCTCCTCCTCCTCCTCCTTGTCCTCCTTGTCCTCCTCCTCCTCCTCCTCCTCCTTGTCCTCCTCCTCCTCCTCCTCCTCCCTCCTCCTCCTCTCCTTCTCCTGCTCCTCCTCCTCCTCCTCCTCCTCCTCCTCCTCCTCCTCCTCCTCCTCCTCCTCAGCATCCTCATCCTCATCCTCATCCTCCTCATCCCTCGGGCGCACGGCGGCAGCCTCGCTGGGAGGGTGCTCCCGCTGCCGCGGCGGCAAGCGCCTGCGGCCGGCGAGGCATCGGGTAAGGTGCCTACGGCTGGAGAATCCGTGACGCTTCGTGTCGCGCGTTCTCTCTAGTTACCAGATCTGCGACCGTTAGTCGCCTTCGCGCTTTCTCCGCTCCCCCAGACCCCGCGCGCGAGGCCGCAGGGAAACCCCCTCGGCCCAGGGCGCTTGTCTGGTGGCATTCCCCTCCTCCGGGGTCTCTCCCTGTCCGCCCTGGCGGTCCGCGCCTCGCGTCCCGCCTGCTGCCTGCCTCCCCTCCCCACACGGGGTCGACGGACACCTGGTCCTCCCCCATCGCGCTGCTCATCCAATACAGTCTGAGCTGTGCCTCCTGCCACCTGGGCGGCGCGTGCCGCTCGCACCCGCCCTTTCGGCTCCCCGCCTCTCGTCGCCTGCCCTTCTGCGGCCGTCTGGCCGTTTCCTCTCGCCACTTGCAGCGTGGTCTGGCCGGCCCCCCCCAAGCTGCCCCCTCGACACCCATCGGTGCCTGGCGATCCGGATTGCTTCCGTCGAGCGCCCGCATGCCCAGTCTTTCCCTTGTGACGGTGGCTCGCTGTCAAGGTTCCGCATCCCTCGTCTTGGACTGGGCTTGGTGTGCGTCTTGCAGGCGGTCTTCTTCGTCAGGGACGTGATTGGCTACCCGAATTACCACCTTAGTGCTGCACATCGCCCGGATGTGCCTCCTGGCGTGCGCTCTCCACTGAGCGGCAGCGAGGCCCGCCTCCTATTAGCCTCTTTCCCTGCTTAGTATTGTTCTCTTGTCGCCCTTCCTCTTCCTCTGCGCTAACTTAGGCCGTTGCTAGTTTGCAGTTCCCTGGACGCCGCCCGACCTTTCCCTCGCCGCGGTCGCTATCAAAAAAGTACCCCCACCAACCAATCCAAAACTGACGCCCAGGCGATTTGATACGACTGTGGAAGCGTAGGAGCAAAGTGGTGGGACAGTCGTTATCGATCGAGGGAGGAGGAGGCGGAGGCAGAGGGAGGATGATGATGATGATGATGATGATGATGATGATGATGATGATGATGATGAGGAGGAGGAGGAGGAGGAGGAGGAGGAGGAGGAAGAGGAGAGCGAGGAGGAGGCGGGATTAAGCAGGAGGGGGATGGATGATGAATTTGCGGATGAGGAGGAGCAGGAGGAGGAGAAACCGTCGTATTCCAAGAGGGGGAAGAAAGAGGAGGAACTGGAGGATGAGGAGGAGAAGTAGGAGGAGGGCAAGTAAGAAGGAGGCAGGAGGAAATGAACGTGGAAAAGAAGGAGGAGGGGGGCGAGAAGGAGGTGGGGGAGGCAGAGGAGGCAGGGGGGAGGAGGCAGGATGGAGGAGGAGGAGGAGTCAGCAGATGAGAAGGAGGAGGAGAAGGAGGAGGATAAGGAGGGGGAGGAGGAGGAGGAGGAGGAGGAGGAGGAAAAGGGCGAGGAAAAGGGCGAGGAAAAGAGCCAGAAGCTTCTTGAATGCCTATCGGGGTCTCATCGGATGTCGCTTGGAATTGGTTTGAAGGCCTCTTGGGGCGTCTGGGGGGGCATCCTGGCGGGACCAGGGCCGTCTTGAGGCCTCTTGGGGTCTCTTGGGAGCCTCTTGGAGGCCCTTGATGCGCCTCTTGGGGCCCTCTTGGGGCGCTCTTGGGAGCCTTAGAGGCGTTCATGGAGTCATCTTGGAAGACATCGGCACAAAAAAGAGGGGAGCTTCAATTAGCCCTGCCCTTTTTACAGTGCCTAAAATCGTGTCTTCGGGCGTTCTTGGAGCGCTCTTGGGCGCTCTTGCGGCCGTTTTGGAGTCGTCTTGGGCCCCTCGTGGGACCTTCTTGGCCTCATTGGGGAGCTCTCTGGGTACTTGGAGCCGTCTTGAAGTGGTCTTGGGGCCTCTTAGAGCATCTTGGAAGTAACCCTGAAGGGTATTGCGCTATCTGGAGCCACCTTGGAGGCCACCGTGCACTGTTTGAGGCTTTCCCAGAGCAATATCTTGGAAGCTCCAACCTCTCGCGGACCCCCGGGTCCAAGTCCAGGGGAGGGGGTCAGGAGGAGGGGTGAACCCCTCCCTGGAGGGTAATGGAAGAAGGGGGTTCGAAGAGGAAGTTCCCCAGACCACCTACGCCCAGAGGGCTGGTGGTACATCTGGATAGCTTGTCGCGCCGCCGGCGCTGGCCCACCGCGCTACCGTGCGGCACGCTATCCATTTCCCCGTCCCGGGGCGTCAAGTTCCCGCCAGCGTTCCCGAGCCTCCCGCCCCCGCGGAGCGGAGCAACACGCTACCCGCCTTCAGGGCACAGCGTGTCGCCGGGGCCGCCGCAGCGACTCCATGCAAAAGTTCCCACCGTCGGTGGTGCAAAGATGGGGCCCCGAGGGCCGGGGTCCTGAGGACGAGGTGCCTCACACAATGTGGATCCACCCTTTGGATCCTTCCCTAGCCTTGGGCCCCCATCCCTCACGAACCTACCTTTGAACCACCGACACCCGTATGTCACCCGGAGGGGCGCGAAGCTCATGGCGCTTCGCGGCTTGGACTTTGGAGAGGCGCCCATAGCCCAAGGCGGCCTCGCGAGGGCGCGCAGAAAGCCGCGGGGCGCGCATCGGCCCGACTGTCTCGCGCGCCGGGGATTTCAGGATGGCGTGAGTTCCACAGAGATTCCCTCAAACAATGCGCTCAATGGATTCTTATTTGACCTCCCAGAAAAAGGGCGTTCTGGTACGATTTAGGTCAGGTCTCGGCGGTCACGTTGATTCGCGGTGGTGGCATGCCTGAAATTCTGTTCTGGCGCGATCTTGGCTCGTCAGGTCGCATCAGTAATGTTGATTCGCGGTGGTGACGTCTCAGGAATGGTGTTTTGGCACGGTTGGACATTTTCAGACGGTTGTCTTACAACGTGGCTCTTCCTGCAGCGGGAAAATCTTGACCGGAGCCTACGAAGAGGGAACTTAGCTTAGAGGGAGGGTTGATTGCAATTCGTTGATGAGTCTTGGGTTTACACTGGTCCTCTTCCTCCTCCTCCTTCCCCTCCTCCTCCTCCTCCCTGTCGCAGCCCCAGGCGTGCCGGTAGGGCGGGCCGTGTGTCTCGTTCGAGGTTTGATTCTTTAGCATCACGACCCTCAAACTTGACATGTGCAGCAGGTTTACGGACGGAGGCCGGGTGGTTTTCACAATGTGGTTTTCGCCTTTGGTCGCACACATTCGTTCTAAAAAAACAGTTTCACGGGTGGGGGGGCGTTTCTTTTCAGAGTGTGGTTCTCGCCTTCACGCCGCTCGCATTAGTTTTAAAGTTCGCAAGGATTTCAAGGATGGAGGGCAGGTCCTTTTCAAAGTGTGGCTCTCGCCTGGCAGCCGCGCACATTGGTCTTCACAGTTGCAAGAGCTTCACGGATGGAGGGCGGGGCGGCTTCAAAGTGCGGCTATCGTTTTGTAGTGCCGCGCACAGTGTAGGTTGCAGCAGCTTCAAGGATGGAGGACGGCCCCTTTTCAGAATGTGGCTCTCGCTTGCGCGCCGCGTAGATGTGCTTCAAAATTCTACAGCAGTTTCAAGGGCTCGTATGGTTGAAGTTCCAGGAATGACGTTCTGGCACGGCTTAGGATTGTCAGGGCGCAACAGTCACGTTAATTCGCGGTGTCGAAGTCTCAGGAACCGGCAGGTTTGGGGATCGCCAGGCCGTAGCAATCTTCTCGATCAGCGGCGTGGAAGTCACCGGAATCGTGTTTTGGCACGGTTGAGCAGCATCATGTTGTTGTTCTCTAATGGAGCTTTTCCCGCAATGAAACTACTTATCCC